ACAAGGACTCTGTAGAGTGGTTTTCCGACTCGTCTGATCCACTCGTCTTGAGTTCGATGGTATGACGTACCGGAACTAGATCTCCTGAGTTGAGAGCACAATTCCGGTGAGGATACATGAAGTAGTAAGATAAATAGAAAATTCCAGGCATCATGATGGTTATTGAATGCGATTTAGTGAAGTGGTTGCGCTTCCACGTCCGCTCTGTGGTTAGCTTCAGTAAAGCCAGACCAGTCCAGAGTCCAAAAGTTCTGTCGTAGATCTGTTTCCATCGGATCGAACTTGGGTCTGAGCGATGCGTCAAAAATAAGGTCTGCAGATTTTCTGTTTCTGTTTCCTTTCTTTTTAATTTTTGTAAAGATTTTGTGAATGCGTCCACGAATCTCTCTATTTGTTCGTTGGATTGTGGATCATATGTCGGAGAGAAGACGTGTCGAATTCCATGTTGCGCAAAAACTTCTAGATCCATCTATCTATCTTCTGGGTAAATTGTGTCTCGTTGTCGGAAACAAAAGTGGCGCCCGTAGCGGTGCTGCTGTTGCTGAAAATCCCTCAAAATTTGGGAAAACCGTCGAGAATAAATAATAGGTTCCTTTGTGTGGATCGGCGTAATTGACGTGTATTCTAATCCCGGGCGAGACGAGGATACAAGGGTGGTCTTAATCGGAACCTTGGTGACTGTGAGCATATGGTGCTGCCGAGCAATGTTTTCAATATACTGGTCAATTCCTGGGCAGCAGGCATAGCTGCGGACCAGAGCCTTCATGCGTATGTTTTTAGAATGTCCATTGTGTAACTGTCGAAGGACGCGTGATTGCAAGTGCTATGAGATAAGCACTCGATCAGCCATTATGGGAGGCGGTCGTTTGGCGCGGCCCTTCGCACCCAACTTGCCACTGGGGCGATTAGGCTCATAATTGCGTTCTTGGCGCCGCCCATTGGACTCGGTTTGTGAGCTGGGCAACTCGTCCAGCTGATTCATTCTCCTGACAGTGCTAGTCAGCCTACCCACTGCCCATCCAGCTGATCCCGATCGATAGCGTCGCTATAATTAGACGCCGAATTGACCTGCCTGTATCCTGCCTATTTCCACCGCGAATTTGGCTATTTTTT